TTCCTTATGGTATTTTGATTGTTTTTGTCAAAATCTTAAATGCTCAAGTGGATTGCCCCAAATTATCCCATTCAATATTTATTTATTTTTAATATCTTAGTACTTTAAATGGCATTAGGCTGAGTAATCTTAATCATGTAAGATCTGATGCACATTTTTAAAAGAAGTTTTAAATAACTCCAAAGCCGGTTTCATAAATGTTTGATTGAAATACATGAGTATTTTGTGATCTTTAATTATGCAAAGATTCATGTTGACTAGATAGATTATTGAAATATATCAATTGCACTTTATTTTTTAACATAAAGGTTTTATAGTGTAAAAATATTTTTGGTTATAAAAAAAAATATGGTTTAAAATTATAATATTGAAAAAAAATATGAAATGCGACTACTCTCTAGATGTGAACATTAGTCTCCCATTAGGCAAGTAAATTGAATAATTCTAATGTGTTAAGTGCATCCAAGCTTGATTCATGTAATTTATGAAATTATATTTAAATTGAGGACAATCTTCTAATTGATGGTAAGGCAATTTTATAAACTAACAAAATTATGAGTTGCCAATAAAATGTCTATTGGGGCATATAATTCAAAAATTTTTGGCTTGAATAATTTTTTTCATTTGAATATCTATTTTGTAAGTTCAAGATGGATATGTGCTTTCCCTGTAGGATACAACTCCAAATACTTTATTTTGGGAGATGTCATTTCCATGTATTGATGTGAGGCAATTTTTTAAACTTTTATTTCATCTACATAAATTGTGATTATATGTCTACTTCTCTAAATAAGTTCAAAAAGTTCGAGGTTGGAAATTTAATTTGCAGAAATTAATTTTTTTATTTTTTTAATTTTATTTAATGTTCTTGAAGAAATTTTTAATATTTTAATTATTTTATTTTTAATTGATTTAAGAATATATTATATGTTTGATTGTAAGAAAAGTGAGTTTTTTAATAGCTTAATAGTAATATATGAATCCTAAAAAAATTTTATTTGACAATATCCTATACATCTATTTATTTTCATAATGAACCCCTCATTTTGAGTCATCATGCAACATATTGGAATCAAAATTTGTAAATATCAAATTTTAAGCAATTTAGAAACATTCAAGTGGTACTACTAGACAAGCACATCATAATTATTTGGATATCCATAATTATATCCCAATATTCGAAAAAGATATGATCTTAAAAATTTTGACTGTGAATCAATAATTTAAATCTTTTCTTAACGTTATCATTTATTTGATTTCAAATAGTTCCAGTTGTTGAAATAAAATTTCGGGGACATGCATACATATTTTTCAAGAGTATTTCAACTGAAACAAAATCAATATAAGCTTAAAGAGAAATATCTATAAATTGTTGAAATCCAAAATGAATTGCTTAATCAATTTAGGAGTTGCAAAAAAAAAAAAAAAACAGAAAGAGAAATTTTAGGCAAAAAGTTAAGAATAGGCTATGCTACAATTCACACAAAAAATATTATGATGCTTTGTTGAGATTTTAGTGTGCCAGGATATGTTATCAATGCTATTTTAAGATCATTAATTAAACTTATACTAATTCCTAAGAAAAAGCCTAATAAAATCTTATCCAAAGTTAATAAGAGCACACTAATACATCATTTATGCTTCAAGTTAACCGAATTGAAGAAAAAATAGTTCATGAATAATTTGATCTGATCCAAAACCAAAACTAGTGACAAATTACGAATAAATTGCAATCGAGATATCGGGGAACTCAAATAAAGGTTGATTTTACTAATATCAATGAAAGCAAACAAAATCCAACGTTGATCTATTGTTTTAGAGATAGATTGTCTCTTTATAAATCCTAGACATCACTAGGAATACTACGCAAAAAAATAAAAAAGCAGCCAAAAAAATCATAAAAACCAACCCTGAAAAATTATCCCTCATAAATATTCCCCAAGATCCCCTTTTAAACTTTCCCCCCTAAAAACCCCCTTGATTCCCCTCCTATGTGTGATTAGCAGTTATGTGGATCCCACCCGGGAGCTGAAATCATGCTCAGCCTCTCCTAGGTATCCACCCCTCTATGTTGAGCCAGCTGACTTGACGTGGATGCCGGCTGCGCTGGCTGGGTCTGGTTGGTCTAGACCAATCCAATTTGGATCGACTCGCCTCTTCTGCTCTCGATGGCAGTACCCCCGAGTATACACAAACTTATCATAATCTCTTAAGGGAGTACCAAATTTAGAAAATAATTTAAACCCATGATAATTATACTTATAGCATTGGTGTCATAAATTTATGCATGAAAAATAGTGATAGTATATATATATATATATATATATATATATGATGTTATGGAATCAACATTCAAATCTGATCGATCATATTGATAAACTTAGTTCTTGAATTGATTAGAAGATAGAGTGAAAGTTCGAGAAAATAAGCGCCCTAAGAATAAATATATATACCAACTGTTCTAGTGAAAGTAATTAACTTCCATGACAAATGTGAAGATGGACTAGCACTATTTGATGCAGTTGATGAATCAAATGTGCAATTTGAGCATGCAAAATTTGACGATTTTTTTTTTAATAATTTCAAGGATAACTATCAATTTATTGTTGGACCTATTTTTCACTTTTATTTTTGTGACACAAAAATTTATAAAATGAACTTCACAATTCACAATGAGAAAAAAGTGGTGCCAATACTTGAAGAAGTTTATTAATAGTATATCTTTAAAAAACTAAAATATTAAATAATGTCCATTTGCCCAATCCTTCATTCATTGCAACTAAATTTTAAGTTATTCGTGTTAGTTTTTCTTACATGGATTGTTTGTTTAGAGAAGCATATCATACTTATAAGATTAGCAATTAAATTTACATGTCATCTTATAGGAATTAAAGATGGTTCATAAGATGTATTCCTTAAGATGAACATTACAATTTTAGAATTTTTATTATTTATCTCATATCCCATTCATAATATGCATGAATTATGGGAGGATATTGGCACAAAAATAACAAATAATTATGATAATTACTAGCCTTTTATTGATATGAGCAGAAAGCATATATAGTTTAAGGCTAGTAATGACTTCAGGGGACTTTAAATCTGAGAAGACTTCAATTAGGATTTTTCCAGAAATTGAGTTCAAGTTATAATTATTTAAATTTTGGTAATCTATTGAAACTTATATTACAAATTAATTATTTTGAAAATTTTAATTGAAATCCAAATTTTAATTTATCTAATTTGACCCTATTTCATTAGCATACCATTAATCTGGTAGATTCTACTATTTTGACTTCCTACGATTCCCCATCAAATTGTCTATCATATACATATTTATAGCTTATCCATGAGGATAGTATATAGTCCCGTCAAGTTAATTGCAAATGGTGAATTTAAAAGGTATATTATTCATTAATGAGAAAAGATTATATGTGATGTTTGATGAATTATATGAGATAGTCTATGTCCAGATTGCAAAATTCATCATAATTGAATTTGTCAAAGGTAGGATGAAAATCTTCACATTTATGATTGTTAGAAGCATTGTCTCCATTTCATGAAATGTTCATTTTTAGTAGTTGGTTTCTTCTCATTAATTAATTGTTATTTTTGTTTGAAAACTTGAAGGTGATGATGGTCATAAAAAGTTATGGGCCACAACAAGTATTTCATTGTTTTATGTTATTTCATATTTACAACAATTACGTCATTGTTTGTTCTATATATGCTACGTGCAGGAATTATGTGAGAAGATGGTTAAGTATGAGTAATTTTAAAAGTTCAATTAAAATTGGAATTAATTTAAATTAAATTTAAAATTGTGTAATAGGTTGGTTGACTTTGCTTGCGGGTGATGTGCCAACTTAGGGTCCGTTTGGGGCAGCTTGTGCGTTTCAGGATAAACTGCTTATCCTGAAACGCGGCCCGCGGGCTGGCTGCAGGGGTCGGCCCGCGGTCTGCCTTTAGTGTAAAAACCCCAAACCAATTTTAGATAAGATGTCGAAACATATATTCTAAAATGTAAGGCGGCATTTTGAAAAACTGCCCGCACTTATAAGCTACCCCAAACGGACCCTTAATTTTGAACTTCAGACTTGCATAAAACTTTATTTCTAATTTCAATTATGTGAGTGCAAATTGAATGACTTGTCCTTTTTTTTTTCAAATGCGGCACAATTTCAAATACCTAATTTTGAGGAAAAACATCGCAGTAACGAAATGAAGATAGATTTTTTTCTTACTACGATAAATTTGTTTGTTATTTAGTATACTCTTATTAGCGAAGTAATTTGACTTTGATCTATCATTTTATTTGTTTGCAAGCTTTAATTTTTAGCTGAAACATTTAGAAACTTTAATTACTTAATTATTATTATTTCTTAAATTATACTATTAATTAGTCATAATATGTGAATCATTAATTTTCAAATAAAAAATTGGGACACAATATATAATATTAAAAAGTCTTAATTAATTTTTTTTGAAATTATTATATGATTACCGTTTTATTTTGATTTGATTTTCAAATTTTTTCGCTCCTTACTCTTTAATCATTGTTCTTCATCAAATATTTTGAATATTTTTCTTGGCCGGAGGAATTTTTTTTTTCTCTCTTTGAGGAAGCTTTCTCCATGTTTACAAAATTCGCTGAAATTAAAATATGTTTATCATTCTAATTCTGGTGAAATACAAATTATTCAATTTGAATAGTAAACTGAAACCCTCTTGTATGTAGGGAGTCAAGTTGAACAAAATTAGAAGGGGTAAACATTTTGAATAAATAGCCGCAGATCAATAATTAAGACACGCATTATCGGAAGTTTATTTCCGTCCATTCACTTTCTTTTAATCTAAACATAGCACAAAATAAGTAATATAAACAAATTAACATTTAAATTTTAAGAAAATAAAATCATTTTCAAGATTATTAATAGTTGCTAATGTTCAGGAAAATATCGGTTAACTCTCAAAAAAACAAAAAAGTTGACTATGTTTACCTGGGTCTCCCTTGATATGATAGTTGTTTCTGGGCCTCCGAAATTGCATTTTTGGTACTTCTCTAACGTTTTTAACATACTGAAATTCATAAAAGAATAAACAATTAGTCGAAACACGGAAAATTAAATATATCACAAAGAAATGTGCTTGATAGGCTCATGCACCCCTGCTTTCTTATAATCCCTTTTTTGTCTTTTTTCTAATGAATTTTGTTCCTCAAATTAAGACATCAAAAGAAAAATGTATTGACCTCAAAAATAAAAAAAAATGCTTGTGTGGCTACAAAGAGTTGGGCTCATAAAAGAAAAAAAACTCTCTATTTGAAAAAGTGTAATTTTGACTTGATGTATTTTATTCTAGAAGTTTGATCGATGTTCAACTTAACTTCAAAAATAAAAATTAGAGATCATACAAGATCAAAACAGTTCAAAAATCTTGCCACAAAAATAGGTTTCTCAAAATGTATCCATGTATTCCAAAGCTATCCAAATTGAATATTCAATACCCTAGAATCTATGAAGTTCCAATTCAGAGTTAATCAAATTGGCAATCTAGTGTTCCGTACATGGAGTAGCATGATGCATATTAAGTAAGACATAAAACTACAATGGATTTCGAAGGGACCACTAATTGGTCCACAAAAAAAATCTTGACAAGAGCGATTTTATAATCTTGTTTGAATGTTTTGGCATGTGCATGTTATTAAAAAATATTTCATGAATATCTTGACTACTTGGAGCAATTATGATCTTTACAAAATTTCATTTCTAAAGTCATTTATGGCACATGACTTATGTCAAAAAGAAACAATTTCAAATAAAAATGATGAGAAAATGTGTTCTTTTCTAATTCCTCAAATATGTGTAATAGTTCTTGTTGGAGTTATTTCCGTGCAGCTCATCATTAAGAGATTAATCCATCATCACCGAAGTGTTTTATAATCAAAATCTACAACTAGGCATATTGAATTAGTGAAACATAGGTGTCATTGGATGTGACTATTAACCATTATTAAATAATAACCATGAGATCATTACTAGTTGCTAGAGTCGTTCTCTTTACCAACCGAACAGTTGGATTAGCCCAAGAATAATGTAAAGGGAAGCAAATCTTTATATTTATAGTTGAACACATATGTTACATATTTATACAGACTCGGATTAGCAATATTTCTAATATAGAAAAGATCCTATAAATCTCATCTAATTAGACACATAATATTAATCTTCCTAATAAATAAGCTTCTTAATGTATTACTTTTCATAACACTCCACTACATGCTGGAACCTAGATATTTCTCATGTCCCACTTGTAATAAATATAATCAAACCTACCTCTCTTAAGGGCTTTTATGAAGATGCCCCCAAGTTGCTCTCCAAACTTTTACATGAGTAGTAGAAATTAAAATTTTGTTAACTCTTTTCATGAGCAGAGTGACAATCTATCCCAATATACTTAGTTTTGGGAGAAAGTAACTCGCGGAATCTCCTTCGTAAATTCATAGGGGCTTCAATTCGAAAATCTAAACCACACCGCGGAATAGGATCACATAGATTTGAGAAAATTGGGACAAACTTATGAACAAAAGCATAATAAAACAAACTAATTAGAAAAACACACAAGAATTTAAAGTGAAAAAACCCAAGAACGGGATATAACCATGGAGCCACATCAATAGAAAAATTTCATTATGAATTAGAAAGTTTTACAAAGAACACACTCACTTTCCTCTTCTCAATCAAGGATACTTACAAGACATCGCTCCAAATTCTTCCTTCTCCGATCCACATAAATCCTCCTCTTCGACACTTCTCACCTTCACCGGGATGTTTATCTTAGAACGCGGAAGGAAGACAACACATTATATCGCTTGAAATTAGCTCTTAAAACCAAAGTTATTTGAAAACATTGCCTCTGAGCGCCACACTTACTAGAGGTGCCCACTTGAGTTGGGCACCTAGGCGACGTCTCTACTATCCACGCTCACATATGTGGGCACATATATGCCATAGGCCGACACATAGGCATCATTTTCTTTGTGAGCAGCGCCCAAGTGGGCGCTTGAGCTCCCACAATCCAATGTATATGCGTTGGGTGCTTGGTCTCCTGTTTGTGTGGATGCTTTGGCTCCACAAACCCAACACTTAGTTCGTTCATGGAATACAATGTTTGAGGCAATATGAATTGCAGCTTGTTTATCACATTATAGTTTTGTTAGAAGTGTCATCTTGAACCTATTTCAATTAATAATTGAGAGATCCATATCAATCCACTCGAAAAAGCTTGTGTCATTTCCCAATGCTCAGATTATACACTAAATCATGACACTTGATTATGTTTCTTACTTTTTCCTGAGAGCAAATTGCCACCAACAAAAACACTTTATTAAACAATATGACTTTTTCTATGAGACCAATTTGCATAAGAGAAACATTTACTATTTTTATGTCCACGGTTTGATATAGAATATCTTATCCATGAGCTCCTTTGAATTAACATAGTTACTGTTCCAAAGCTGACCAAAGATAAACTGTGTTGGAGGACATAAACTGACTTGTAATATTAACTGAAAAAGCAACATCATGGTGCATCACTGTAAAGCAATTTAATTTTCCCACTAACTATTTATATTGTTATCGATCATTAAAATGCTCTTAATTCTTAGGAATTTGTTGATTAGAAAGCATGAGAGTACTGCATTGTTTGACTCCTTATTTCCCAGTTGTTGTTAATAAATCTAAGATATACTTCCCTTGAGATTGAAAGATGCCCTTGTTGCTTCTTGATACTCAAATCCCTAAAAAATATTTCAAGGCACCTAGATCTTTAGTGTTGCATTCAATAATAATAATAATGACATCAAGATGCAACACTAGAAAAAAGATCCCAAAAATAGATTGATTGTAGAATACAATATGATCATTTTTACTTTTTTGCATAATGCTTGACTAAATTTTCCAAATAGTTAATCTCACAAGTTTAAGCAAAAGCTCTCAACAGCCAACTGAGCATTGAGATGAGCTACGAATACATCAAAATGAAATTCATCTGCAAAAACCAATTTACATTCATCCGCCTTCATTCTAAAATGTAGTTCAACTAGTTTTCAAGTTTCATTTTCAGTTAAGGCCTTCATTTCATCAAACATTATTGCCTTCCACCTAGAATGTAATAGGACTTGTTGGACAGATCTTGGGATCTCAACAGTGTCAAGGGAAGCAATAAATGAACATGAAGTAGAAGATAATTGGTTATAATCAATAGTATAAAGAAAAGCACATTGACACTTACTTTCTTAAAGAACAATAGGTACATTAATGTCATTAAGAGCAGGATCTACTGAAGAAGATGATATTGACATCATACTAGGATCGAGGGGACGAGATCTTCTAGAGTAAGTATTAGTGATAGGTATTTTGGGCTGAGTGGCTAGTGGTGGAGGTGGAGCTAGATCAAGATCTGAAATGATGACACGATAATTAAAAAACTCAATAGAATCTCGTGAGAATTTAGACAATATATATTGAGTTACCAAAGAATGGGATTTGTTCATGAAAGGCGGCATCATAAGAAATTATGTACCTATAAGAAGGAAAAAATATCAAAGAATGGGATTTGTACCTATAAGGTCCAGTTTAGAAACTTGTGGTTGAGTATCATGTCTAAAATAAGTGCACTTAACGTGATTTAATGGGATCGAGAGTTTGTTGAAAATAATAATTGGTAGGGTATATGGTTTTGTAAAACGGTAGAAGGAATTCAATTGATAAAAAAACATGCAGTAGAAACTGAATCAACTGAAAACTATTTGGGTAAATTGCTTTGAAAGAAAACAACTCCTGCTATCTTCAAAAGAAGTCTATTTTTCCAGTCAGCTACTCCATTTTGGGGTGGAGTATTGATACAGGATAATTAATAAAGTATCTCGTTTTATGCCATGTATGTCTAAAACGGTGCAAAAAATATATTTTTTGTCATTGTCACTTCTCAGAATTTTGACCAAAATAGTAAATTGAGTTTTAATTCGACATAAATGGATTGAAACACGCAATTACTCAATATAAGAGATTTCATAAACTAAAGCCATATTATACAAGAAAATTATCCACAAAAGTAAAAATATCAAAATCTATTAGATAAAACAAGACAAGGTCCCCATACACTAGAACAAACCAGCTCATAACTGTGACTAACAATTATTTTTAACTTCGGGAATTACAAAAGACAAACAAAGGTGTTTAACAAAGTATCACGTCTCACAATATAAAAATAACAATAGCTAAAATTGAGAGTTTAAGTCATTTTAACATTCATAGTGATGGATGTCCTAATCAACAATACACCTAAAAAAGGGATGAGATGCTAGAAGAGACTATGGGTCGAGATAGTTTGCTCTCCAAAATGTATAATCCCCTCGAAACTATCATTTATTAATAATTTTCTTCATTATAAGATCCTAAAAAAGATAATAATCAAGGAAGAATAAGATACAATAATTAAGAGCATGTGCAATTTTGCTAAGAAAGATAATATTAAAAGAGAATTGAGCATGATTAAGGACATAAGTCAATTGTAAAGTATGTGTAACATTGATGGTACCATAACTAAAAACATTAGAAGTGAATTCATCTGCTAAGATGAAAAAAGAAAGATGTTTATGAATGGTGGAAAGGAACTTTGGATTAAAATCATGTGAGTTATAGCACCAAAATCAATGAGCCAATGTGTGGAAGAGGATAAAACGCAAGTATTATTGTTACCTGACTAACCAAATGCAGTAATAGAGAAAGTATCATTGTTACCTAACTTAACAAAGGCAATAATAGATGTAGATTTCTTGTATGTTTTCTGAAGCTGGATGAATTTGGCATATTCGTCTAAAATCAATAAAAGTATGACCTAAGGAGACCTCATCAGTTGTGACCATGTGAGCGTAATGTGATTTAGAACCATTTTGATCTTTTTTAGCAAATTCTGACACATTCTTTTCATATGACCAGTTTCATAGTAGTAGTAACTAACTACTTTAGAGCTTTGATTTTTAGAATTTGGAGTTCTACTATACTTACCATGAGAAT